TCCCTTTATTTTAATTAAAAAAAATTAGTTTTTTTACTTAAAACAATCTCTTTTAATACTTAAAATTTAAAATTAATCTCTTTTTTATCTCTTTGTTAAATTTTTTTTACGGATAATAAATAATTAAGGAAATTGAGTGATGTGAAAATGTGAAAAATTATTTTCACGTCCACACCGGTATTTTATATAAAAATATTACATTTTTTGCAAAAATATATTTTCATTTTATAATTTTTGAATTACAAAATAATTAACTTTAATTATTTATTTACAAACTTTAATTACTCATTTAAGTCTCATTAAATTAAATCATTTGTGTTTAATTGGATTTAATAAAAAAATAATTTCCTCTCTTTTCTATTCATCATCCACAATGGGTTCAATTCTGGATTTCTTATTGCATGTTCAAAATTAAACCATATAATTTTTGAAAAATCACTAATATAATTTCTGCTATCAATTACCACTTAATTTTCTCATATTTTCTCTAACTTTCTAAGAAACCAAACAACAAAAACCACTTCCAGTCAAGAAAACAAGGATGACGGATGTGGTGGCACAATCCATGTCCGATTAGCATCTAAATGAGCAACAAAACAAACCACTTTCAATAGAAAAATCTGGGTTTCAATCAAGGATTACATGGTAAGGCATGCGGCAAGAACCCAGATTTAGGCTCCTCGCTCAAGGCTTGCATGACGGCGATGAGCCCAGATCTGCTTTGGATGGAGGAGGAGAGGAAGGGAGAAGAGAGGAGAAGCGAAGGAAATGAGAAAAAGACCCTAAGAGGGTATCAATGGTCTGGCAATGATTTTGTTGAAGTAGGTCACCATCTGGTCCATGAATGGGTCAGTGGCGGCGATGGTAAGAGCTACTAGTGGTGTAGAATTGTGAAAACTAGGGGGCTAAGGAGGGAAAGGTGAGCCATTGGATTAGCATTTTTTGAATTACATTTAGATCTAAAGAAAGGGCAGTAGAGGAAACTAGATCTGGGTAGAATTTCTCTCATTTTTTTCTTAGGTTCATGGTGAGATATTTTATTGGGGTAGTCATTGTTGATTTATCAAGAAAAAGACCTAGTCGGATGAGAGGGGAGGAGAGGAAGAGGGGAGGAAGAAGACTCTGGTTTAGCAGGAGAGAAGAGATGGGTGGTTCAAGAAGATGTTTAAGGGTATTTTTATAATTTTGATTTTTATAATTAAAATATATATTTATTAAAATTACATATTATATTTAATATTAATACACGAGGTATCAAATTTAACGGAGAGGAGCAAAAAAGAAGGCAGGTTTTAAATTTTGGAGATTAAAAGACTTAAAATAAATTTTTCTTTAAATAAAAGGACAAAAAAGGGTTTTAACCTCCAGGAAATGCACCCTGCTATTGCCTAGTGCCTATTTAAGTTGTTTCTTCTCCTTAGTTGGCTCATCAACTCCTCGCATCAGAAATTGAACCAGCTGCTAGTGCAAACAATTTGCTTTACAAGGCCCAAGTTAGTTATCAGCGTCCAACTTTACCTATTTCTTCTGCTAATCTTGCGTTGTAAGTACATAATCTATCTATATATTCAAGATTCTTTTTATTTTTTTCTTTAATATATATTTCAGTGTTTCTTATGGATTAATTATGATATATTGTTAGATTTAGTTTGTATTTTCTTCATTAATTCTTTTTCGATTCTCATTATCAAATTATTATTTTTTTTTCTTTTTTGAACGATTTGTTAGATTCCTCATTTTCATATTTTGTGCTTTTACCTGGTAATTAATTAGTAGCCACTTAATTAATTGATACTCTATTTGAGGTCTCTCTCTCTTTTTTTGTTGATCACTTCAAAAAAGTAATATAGAAATTTATGCCTCCTTGTGATCTTATTTGAATTGTGTTTTTCTTTCAAGAAATATCCATCAACCTTCTAAAAATAGGTTTGAAATTGAACTCGAGTAGTTCTACTACGTGCTACCTACTAATTTCATGGGCCTAATCTGTTTCTCAATTTCTAATTTCTTCAATGCCTTCTTCTAAACATGCAGGTATGCAATTCTTTCAGTTATGCTCTCTTTAAAGTATAAAATGAAAAAGTATATACATTTTTACATCTAAAGAAACAAAATAATAATAATAAGAATAATAATAATAATAATAAGATGTAATAGTCTTGTGCATTAGATTTTTATTGGTTGTTTTTGGAATTATTTATTACTTTGAAAACTTTGACCTACTGTAAATTAAATTTAACTAAAATATTGTTTAATTAAAATCTCATTCTAATGACAAAAATTTAAGCTATTTTTTTACTAATTTTTTTCTTTCATATTCTCATTTTCAATTTTTTTTGGCAAATTTCTAGATTCCTTCTTGTCCTATTGTTTGATTTTACTTATTTATTTTGTAGCTATTTAATCGATAATCTTGTGAGGTGGTATGCCTCTTAATGATCATATTTAAATCATATTTTTTGTTTTAGGAAATATTCATCAATCAAACTTCTCTTTATAAGAGAGAATGAGCTTACGCAATTGCAATCAAGAAGATCTGTTGGAAGCTGCTTCTAATCTGCTTGGTTCAATTTGTTTGTGTCCAATTTCTTGAATATCTTCTTTTTCTTCTAGACTTGCAGGTACACAACTCATTCTGTGATATTCCTTTCTGGTATAAAATGAAAGTAAAATCATATTTTCTGCACGGACTGCATAAAAAAGGATCTTTTAAATACTGAAATTATTAAAAATACCATTTATAAAACTTCATTCCATATTAATTCATTAATAACGTTTTAGTGGTACAGCTGATACCGAAACAACTGAACTCATCAAATAAAAAGGTAAAAAATACAAAGATAAGTGCAGTCTAAGATACAAATCATTTGCACATCTCAACGTCTAGACAGTATACACTGCAGGATCTCTACTCTAAGTTTCTAAATCATCAACTATTGATAAATATGGACCATGATTGACACACATCCATTCGTTCCACACTGCCGTTACACACTCTTTTTTTCGTTAATTTTCACCCTCCGTTAGTCTCCATTTCACTCACACCGTGATCCCTCCTTCTTCCTTTTTTTTTTTTTCTCGCGGGTTCTCGAGAGAACCCAGACCTGGGTTCTCCGA